TGATTTAAATTGATAAATTATTCTTAAAACAAAATTTACTCTTTTAATCACTTTACAACTATGCTTTTACTTAGCAATGGATCTCTTCTGAGACATGTTATGAGGCATTTCATTGTTATACGAATATCACAGGGTATGTGTGTTCATATTAAGAAGGGTAAGAAGTTGGTAGACAATATACTCCCATCACTAAGGCACATGCGGCCCCTAAATGCCTGAAACACTGCTATGGAGCACATGACTACATACAGCTCATTAGCTTAAGGACATTTATGGCCTTTGTGCCAGTGACACTACCATCTATTTCCAAGATATCTTTCATCTTGAAAAAAGGAAACACTGTACAAATTAAACAACAACTCCTCCTTTGTTCTCCTCCCAGTTTTTGAGAATGTCCATTTTACATTCTCTATGAATCATACTACAACAGATACCACATTTAAGTGGAGATAGGAAGTGTGTGTGATAGGGTGATTGGCTTATTTTACCTAACACAATACAAACTCTCTAGGCACCTTTAATAAGAACACTGACCCATTCTTCAGGTCCACTTGTAGGATATTATCTAACTCTAGTTACCACCCCACAGGTCTCATTTGCACATACCATTACACAGGAGAATTTGTGTCTCAAAGTCTGAGTATTAGGAGGACATAAACAAATTAGCGTATGTAGAAACCAAACTTCCGGGTCATGTGATTAACACCAGCATTAACTCACTGAAGAGCTAGCAGTCCATTCTCCACAGTAGTGAGAGCATAAACATTCTCATCCCCGGAACAAGGTCTCCAAATGCCCACATCCTTACTAATCGTTTCTATTTCCCATACTTCATTTATTTGTATTACTAATAGACTTCTTAACAGGTATAGAGTACTCAACGTAAACACTGAAAAAACAACAACATGAAAAACTTTGAATAGATACTAATAGAGTTTGACTAGACATGAAATATTAAAGAGCCCCCAGAAACGAAAGAATTTGATTGTGTTCAGTTAAAAGCTACCAAAATCTAGTAAGAGAAAAGGAGTGAAAAGAAGCAAAGAGGTGAGGAAGAACATCATCCCTCTACACTCTCTGCTGATCTCTTGGTGGAACTCCAATGCTTAGACTTTTATAAAGGAAAGGAGGTTATAAGGGTCTCGCATAACTAACAGAGTGGTATTAAAGAACGAATAACAGAGATGCGTTGCTTCAAGAATACAGAGGAAAAGGCAATTATACAATTAGAGGACATCAGAAGAGGGCAGTGATCTATAAGAGAGGAAGAAAGAATTTACACAGAAACAACCTTGACAGTGCTCTGATCATGGACTTAAGAAATCTGAGAGGAAAAAAAAAAATCTCTTATTCAATCATTCAATCAGTGTCTTTTGTCATGGTCACCAGAAAAAAATTAATATAATATTCAAAATAAAAATGTAAGTGATCCTTTGTGTATGTGATTCTTGGGACAGAACTCAGGGCCCTGTGCATGCTAAGCAAACGTTCTACCCAGGTTCTTTCCACATATTTGATTTTTAAAAAATATGTTTTGTATGTATCATGTATATGTGAAGCCAATAAAACCTTTCAGCAACAGATTCTCTCATTCTATATCATGTGAATCCTGGAGGCAAAACCATCTCATCACACCTTAAAGAAAAGGCAGGGAGAATCGTGCATTGCAGCCCTAGCTAGTGTTGGACTTCTGCTTCTGCCTACTGAGTGTGACATCACAAGAGTGAGCCAACCTGCCAGGGAAACAATGTTCAGAGATTTTTCCCCCATTAATTTTATTTATTTATTATTTAATTATTTATTTATATTAGTTACATTTTATTAACTCGTATGCCAGCTGTATCCGGTTCCCTCATTCCCTCCCAATACCACCCTCCCTCCCTCATTTCCTCCCTGCCCCTTTCCAAGTCCACTGATTGGGGAGGACCTCCTCCCCTTCCATCTGACCCTGTTTTATCAGGTATCTTCAGGACTGGCTGCAAAGTCCTCTGTGCCCTAGCAGGACTGCTCCTCCCTTGGGGGTGGGGAGGTCAAAGAGCCTGCCATTGAAACTCAAATGACAACACATGCTGGAGAGGTTGTAGAGAAAGAGGAACTCTCCTCCATTGCTGGTGGGAACGCAAACTGGTACGACCACTTTGGAAGTCAATCTGGCGCTTTCTAAGACAATTAGGAATAGTACTTCCTCAAGACCCAGATATACCACTCCTAGGCATATATCCAAAAGATGCTCAAGTACACAACAAGGACATTTGCTCAACCATGTTCGTAGCAGCTTTATTTGTAATAGCCAGGACCTGGAAACAACCCAGATGTCCATCAATGGAGGAATGGATACAGAAATTGTGGTATTTTTACACAATGGAATACTACTCAGCAATCAAAAACGAGGAAATCATGAAATTTGCAGGCAAATGATGGGATCTAGAAAAGATCATTCTGAGTGAGGTATCCCAGAAGGAGAAAGACATACATGGTATACACTCACTTATGTAGACCTATAAGATATGATAAACATAATGAAATCTATACACCTAAAGAAGATAAATAAGAAAGACCCAGGGTAAGATGATCAATCCTCATTTAGAAAGACAAATGGGATGGGCATTGGAGGAGAAAACAAGTAACAGGACAGGAGCCTACCACAGAGGGACTCTGAAAGACTCAACCTAGCTGTGTATCAAAGCAGATACTAAGATGCATAACCAAACTTTCAGCAGAGTGCAGGGAATCATATGAAAGAAGGGGGACTTAGTATGAGTTAGTATTAGTTGAGAATTAGTATTAGTTGAGAGGATAGGAGCTCCACAAGGACCAAATACATCTGGGCACAGGGGTCTTTTCTGAGATTTGATATTCCACCAAGGACCATGTATGGAATTTTTAAAAAGTCTTTAAATACTAAACTAGATGTGCCCCAAAGCCTTTAAAATTTTAAGATTTGATTTTGTCAAGATTCCTGAGGTAGCCTCAACTTCACCATGTAACCCAGGCATTATGCCTTGAACTTGTGATCCTTGTCTTGGACCTCTGACCAGCTGGTATTATGGGCCTGGACTACTACAATAGATTTTGCTTCTTGTGTTATTTTTGTTGTTTTATCCCTAATTCATCTGAGCTCACAATGTCAATAAGAATCAAACAAAAATAAACTGACAAAGGCCTTCTTATGCCATTTCATAATAACAACCATCTTGAATATTAATATTTACAGATTTGGAAGTAGGTAGAGTGATCAAAATGTACATTTAATCAAGTAAGAGTTAACAAAAATGAAAGAAGAGAAGAAAGGAGAGAGGGAACTTTCTGGATTTTATTTCTCAGTTTTTTATTTCTCCAGTCCTTGAAGTTAATTAAAATTCAAAGAGAAAGCATTAATCAACAAACAAACAAGAATGATGCTAGTCCATGAAAACTGAACCACGACTACAAAGAGTAAGATACTAATTTAACTTTCAAACTGTAGTGATTAGCTTTTTTCATACCAATTGGAGACTGATTAGCATTAAGTGGGCTGGAGACATGGCTCAGAAGAACACTGACTGCTCTTCCAGAGGACCCAGGTTCAGTTCCCAGAACCCACATGGCAGATTACAACTGTCTGTAACTCCAAGATCTGACACCCACAGATATACATGCAGGCAAAACAACAGTGCACATAAAATAAAAAGTAATAAATTTTATTAAAAAAAGAAAATTAACTTTTAATATTAGAGTAGCCGTTGATTCAGATTATATTTCATAATGTGTTTATTCTAATACCTACTGAACAGCTTTGATATTTTTTAAGTATATAGATTCATATGTAAATAAATATATACATGTACATAGAAACAAATAAAACATATGTTTATATATTGACATATAAATGGATATAAAGATATACACACACACACACACACACACACGCACATATATATATATATATACCGTATATGTATATGGTCAGTTGTGATGGTTTGTGCCTTTAATCTAAGCATGCAAGAGGTTGAGACATGCAGATCACTAAATTTGAAGCAAGCCTAGTCTACATGGTGAATTCCAGGCCAGTCAGAGCTACATAGTGAGACCTTATCTCAAAATAACAAAACAAACAGCCAGGTGAGGTAACACACCCCTGTAATCCCAACACTCAGAGAGGCAGAGGTAGGCAGATCTCTATGAGTTCCACACCAGCCTAGTCTATAACGTGAGTCCAGGACAGCCAAGGCTACACAGAGAAATCCAATCCTGAAAAACAGAAATAACGACAAAAACAAAAAAGATACATGTTTGCATCCATGTATTTATATAAGGAAGAATATTAATATGTTGTAGCAATATCCTTTCTATATATCATATAGAATGCAAAATTCATAAAGTTTGATTTTGTTTGGAAGTGGAGTTATACTGTGTTTCCCAGGCTAGCCTCAAATTCATAATCATCTTTACAGGCATCAGCCTGTAAAATACCTGAAATTATAGGTAGATGCAATCACCTCTACAAAGTGAAAAGAAATGATTATAATAACTAACTCAGTGTTTATAGTAAGAGTGTTCCAGAAGCAAAAGCAGGAAGACTGCCAGAAGCCTGAGGCCCAACTAGTCTACACAGTGAGTTCAAAGCCATCCAAGTCTACACAGCAAGAGTCGGCCTTCAAATAACAGAGGTGGGCATTTAGCCACTGAAGGATGGAGTGATGAATTTGTCAAAGTAATTGATATCATAAGCAAACAAGAAAAACATTCCACTTCCAACATAAAAATTACAGTTATCCATGAAATAAAAAGTTCTACAAACCAATAACATGTAAAAATAATAGTAATGAATAAACATACAAAATTATTTCTAAGCTTATCAATGACAGACAACTTAAAATTACTAATAGATGTGCTATTAAAGAGTCAAATGAAAACAAACAAAAATATGTTGTAACAATAAAAGTACATTGAAAAAGATTATGTAAAATAACTAAAAGTTTAGAATTATTTTGAGACAATCTTTGAAATGATTAACCAACCTGAGCAACTTTCATTGAATTCTGGGTAGAGCCACCAGCATGATATTCAACTTTGAATTTTTTTACAAGTTCATCAAACCTACAATAAAATAACAACAGACATTAGCATATGTCAGTTTTCACAAAATGCAAATTCTTCTAATTAAAATATAATTAGTGGGATTTCTAAGTCATGTATTTACATCCAAGTATTGAATTAAATTTCTTCTGTAAATATATAACTTAAAGAATCTAAAATATGTACAGTCTGAATTAGTTACTATATTAAACAGACAGTAAAATGAGATTTATTAATTTGCAAGTGAAGGTCACATAAGGCAAATTGGCTATTCAAAGCCAGAGTCCTGTGGGTAGGATGCAGTATGCCTGCAACCCCAGGAGATAAGGACAGGAAGTCAGGATCTAAGTCATTCAGGCAACAAAGCAAAATCAAGGGCAGCCTAAGCTGCAGGAGACCCTGTCAAAAAAGACAAAACAAAAGCAAAAAAACCTACCAGAATTCTTATCTGAGAATTATGTGAAATTTAAAAATGAGTATTTTTCTCTTATTCACACAAGAGTTTTCTAAAGGAAAAAAACAACGCCTTTGCAATTATTATTAAAGACCCAAATATTATACATGTACATTTCAAAATGGACGAGGAAGCATGCATTCACTTCTAATTCCACATATTATTAAATTTCAAAAATTATGTTTTATATAACATTGAAAGAGTTGAAAATTAGAACAGAATTTCAAAGATGCAACAAAATAACATCTAACAAAAATCAGATGTAAGAATACTGAATAGGTAGTAATGGAAGTACACAGTAAAATACGAGTTGTAAACACTGTATTTGTAAAAACAAAACAAAACAAAACTATTTCCAGCTTTATTTGAAATAGCCAGAAGCTGGAAACAGCCCAAATGCCCCTCAACTGAAGAATGGATGCAAAAATTGTGGTACATCCACACAATGGAATATTACTCTGCAATGAAAAATAAGGAAATCATGAAATTTGCAGGTAAATGGTGGGACCTGGAAAGGATCATCCTGAGTGAGCTGACCCAGAAGCAGAAAGACACACATGATATATACTCACTCATATAGACATATAATATAGGATAAACCTACTAAAATCTGTACATCTAAAGAAACTAATCAAGAGAGAGGACCCTGACTAAAACGCTCAATCCCCATCCTGAAAGGCAAAGAGGATGAACATCAGAAGAAGAAGAAAACAGGAAACAACCTAGAAACCTGCCACAGAGGGCCTCTGAAAGCCTCTGCCCTGCAGACTATCAAAGCAGACGCTGAGACTTATGGCCAACTGTCGGGCAGAGTGCATGGAATCTTATGTAAGATGTGGAAAATAGTGAGATCTGGAGAGGACAGGAACCCCACAAGGAGAGCAACAGAACCAGAAAATTTGAACACAGGGAACTTCCCAGAGACTCATACTCCAACCAAGTACCAGGCATGGAGATAACCTAGAACCCCTGCACAGAAGTAACCCATGGCAGTTCAGTGCCCAAGTAGGTTCCATAGTAATGGGAAGAGGGACTGCCTCTGACATAATCTGATTGGCCTGCTCTTTGATCACTTCCTCCTGAGGGGGGAGCAGCCTTACCAAGCCACAGAAGATGACAATGCAGCCACTCCTGATGAGATCTGATAAACTAAGATCAGAAGGAAGGAAGAAGAGGATCTCCCCTATCAATGGACTTGAGGAGGGGCATGCATGAAGAAGGGGGAGGATAGGAGGGAGGGGCTATGGGCAATAAAAAAGGAATAAAGTTTAATTATAAAAAAACTATTTCCATCTTAAAAGCTCAGAATTCAAGAGTCTGATGTCATAAGAAAGCTCTTACAGATTCCCAGACCACCCAGGAATAAGTAAAATGCTTAGTTTGTTCTCTCTACTTTAATTTCCTCTTCCTGTTTCCCTTTTTCTTCTCTCCTGCCTTCCTTCTTTTCTCCTAACAGTTTTAATGCACTAGGCAGAGTGTATATGTAAAACCCTAAGGTCAATATCCAGCACTGCAAACAGAACAAACAACACACACACACACACACACACACACACACAATATGAGTGCATAACACACACATATATATCCATACAATTCGTTCACTTAAAAATGTAACACCCAGTTATATTCACGCTTGTATAACTGTCACGAAGAGCAACACCATGATCAAAAACAAAAAGTCAATACCAAATACCTTCAACCACCTCATATCCAACCTTAAACAACTACTAATATATTTTTTATCTCTATTTTTTCCATTCTGGACACTTTGTATACAAGATCCTTTCATACAAAATACATTCAAGGCATGGTGGTTTGAATAAAAATGGCCCCACAGGTTCACATATTTCAATGCCTGGGAAGTGGCACTATTTGAAAGGATTACCCTTGTTGGAGTGGGTGTGACCTTGTGGGAGAAAGTGTGTCACTGGAAGTGGGCTTTGGAGTTTCAAAAGCCCAAGCCAAGCCCAGTGGCTTTCCCTCTCTTTCTGCTGCCTGCAGATCTGAAAGTAGAACTCTGAATTTCTCTAGAAGCATGGTTGCCTGCATGCTGGCATGCTCCCCACCAGGACGATTATGGACTAAACCAATGAAACTGCAAGCAAGCCTCAATTAAACATTTTCCTTTATGAGAGCTGCCATGGTCATGGCATCTCTATACAGCAATAGAAAACTGCCTAAGAAAAGACTTATTTCTAGTATTTATTATACCACATTTATGTATAAATGTATTGGTCAATGTATGCTTAAATTGCTTCTATCTTTCTTTTTCCTACTATGAGTGCATGCACAAATTGTGTAGATACACCTTCATTGTTATTTGGTGTATGTATTCCTCTTAACCCAAATGTTTTCTTTCATGTTTTACTTTTTGAGTCACCCTTATCAACTACCTACTTAGGAAAACTTGATTGTCTAATTTTGTGTAAAGAGCCAAAACAAAACATCTCTTTATACCAATTCAGCATCTTTTTAAGGAAGACTAGTTGGACAGGCACTAAAGGGGTATCAGTAAATGAGAAAACTATGGATACACGCAGGGAACGAAGATGGCAGCGGCTACTGTGCACCTCAGCTGAAGGGCAAAGGACCTGCAACGCCAAAAATGGTGAGTGAAGGGGCTGATCAACCCAGAACACAGTTATCTAGACTTGCAGGAAGAGAGACTAACCATGAACTGAGTCCATCTAGAATCAGGTCACGGCAGACGCACTCTGGGAGGAGACAGCCTGGGAGGTGATCCCTAGGCACTTCTCGTATCCAACACCCTACTCCCTCTTTGGAGGAGGCAGGAGGCGGCCAGCAGAACCTGCCACAGACCACACTGTCTGTACCCCAACCCCAGCGATAGCGGCAGCCTCCACCAAAAAAACCTCGAGAGCTGGGGCTGAAATAAATCAATCCTTTCGGGTACTATCCTGAGAACGTCGCCATAACCCTGCCCTGACGGAGCGGAAGGATAGAGAGGCGCACAGCGGGTTCACAGTGCCCGGACCCCAGTACTGCCAGCTGCTCCTAGCAAACAAACTTCAGCTCGGGATCTGGGACAGTGGTCATTCAACACGTCCTGACACTTTCCCGGGCCCAGTGCAATAAGGTCTAGCACCAAGTTCTAGCACCGGTGGCCTCTGGCAGAGAAACCCCAGCTTGGGATCAAGAACTGAGAATTCCCAATCCCTCCTGGCACTCCCCTGAGAATGCTGCCATAAGCCTGCCCTAGTGGAGGGGAAGGACAGAGAGGCGGCCTGCGGATGCTGCCACAGGCCACAGTACCCCCGCTCCAGCGCACCCAGCGACCCCAGGCAGAGAAACCCCAGTTCTGGATCCGAGGACACTCAACCCCACCTGATATTCCTCCCTGGAACTGTAGACATAGGCACTAGCGCCGGGCAGCTTCTGACAGATCTGGGCCCGGGATCTAGGATTGAGGACACTCAACCCAACTCTTTCTGGTGCTACCCCAGGACCAGCCACCATAAGCCTTCCCTGGCAGAGGGGAAGGTCAGAGAGGTGACACACAGTGCAGGCAGACACCAAGTCCTGCTGCTACAACGCCACTGAGCTGACTGTTAGCCTACACCCACATTTGCCCCAGCAGGATCAAATCGGAGAGTAGAGAGCAAGGGGAACCCCTGTACATTCCAACTGGTCCTGCAAGGCGGTGAGTGTGCCTTCTAGGGAGTGTTTGCCCCAGACTCAGGGCCTCTCTACGCAAGCCACCAGACAACAGATCACTGCCACCCACACCCCTTGTGTTGGCATCATAGGGATTCTTGGGATAGTGATCCCAACACTGAAGCCTCTGCCTTGCGGGACTACCAGTGAAATCCAGGCAAACAATTCCTGGATCCCAGACAGAGCTGCATACTTGTGGCCTGAAGGCCACTGCCATAGTCAGAGAATCCGCACATGCACACTGTGCCCGATAAAAGCGCCTGCGAATAGCAACAGTATCACATTCCTTACTTGGGTAAAACTGAAACCACAATGCACACTCCCAAACCAGTGAACCCCCCTCATCTTCCTGAAAAAAAAAAAGTCCAGAAAACAGAAAGAGATGATCTTAGCCTGAACTACAGACTCCAGGAACAAACAGTGAGAGTTATAGATAACTAGATGGCCAGAGGCAGATATAAGAATACACCCAACAAAAATCAGGACATCATGGCTTTACCAGCAAAACCCCACAAATCAATGGACACTTCAATTCACTAGATACACAAGAAAATGACTTTAAAACTATGTTTTTCCAGCTATTAGAGGCCCATAAAGAGGAAATGAACAAAGCCCTCAGAGAAATGGCAACAGAAATTGAGATGAACAAAGAGGAAATAAATAAAGCACTCAGAGAATGGCCACAAAAATTGAGGCAAACAAAGAGGAAATGAACAAAGCTCTCAAAGAAATAACCACACAAATAAAGACAAATAAAGAAGAAATGAACAAAGCTCTCAAAGAAATACAGGCAAATACAGTCAAACAAGTAGAGGCACAATTAGCGATATATAGTGGAAATGGACAAAAAAATAGAAGCCATCATTGAAAAGTAAGACTCCACATTCAA